ATTAAAGATGTTCTCTTTCTTATTGTTACTAAATAAATCTGCACAGATGCTTTCTGTTATACATAATGAAACTAGATTGTCTGGAGTGTGATATCACCTTTGGATAGCACTGGATGCTCTTGTATACCTGAAGTACAAAATATCATTTGCTCCAACCCATAATGTGATCGAATAGTAAGTATCACTTCCTTGGCTTTTTTTTTAGGCTATTTAGTCACAAATGTACCTCCAAGACTTTGAAGCAGGTTCATTAACAAGAAAGTTGCTAGGTAYTTGTCATTTTTTAAGCTTAGGAAGTTTTTTACGCTAAACTTTGAAGTTAGTGTCTTTCCAATAATCAAAATTATAAAAAGAATCAACRTATGCTGCTAGAAAGTTACTGCTGTAAGAAGTGTCTAGTAGTGGATTTTCCCTTCGTGACTTGCACAGCCTTCTGTAACAGAGATGTTTATCAATCAAAAATACTCTATTTTCCTTTCTCTATAGTGTATCATTCCTGGTCTTTGTAAAGAAAAAAAATAGTATTAACTTTTTAATTATTAACATGGAATGTAATACAGGCTTGTTCTTCACATTACATTTTTACCATTTTTTCAGTTTTCTTTTTCACTTCAGGTATTTCATTATTCCATGAAATCATGCATCTCTTCTAGAACTTCATAARAATGTAGGGTTAACACAGAAGCATGCAATTTATCCTAATGAATGTTTACTGAAGAAGGGTTTGACGTTACTGACTGATTCTTCTCAATCATATATTACAGGGTCAAATTATGCAAAGTGTTAAAAAAAAAAAAAAAAGTAACTTATCTATTTGAATTATTGTTATGCTTCTCCCACACTAGGACCATACYTTTAAGACTTTCAGAAAGAAAATGACCTATCTGAATAACCAGAAATGGGAGAAAAAAATGAGGGGCAGAAATATAAAGGAATAATATTTTAGGATGAACTTGTTGTGAGTCTTTGGTTCAACAGAGGCTYACTGAGCAATGTAGTCATAATCCCAAGTATTTTCATACTTCTAGTTTGTGTTATGATGTGTGCAGCTATTTTGACTAAGAAACTTCATTAAAAATAACACTTAAAAAGTTGAGGTAAAGCAGAAAAGACTAAAGTGCTATGATACAGCAGCATCAGTGGTGAATTTGTAACAAGAATAAATTTCATAGAGTTCAGTAACTCCAGAGGGAAGCACTTGTGGCATAAATTCTGCTTGTGCATAAAAATAATGAAGAGCGGTTGAACTTGGTAGCCTTGTGCTCCGCTGAAAGTGAGGGAATGCTGAACAAGCAAAGGTAACTGGCAAACAAAGAAAAGCTTTAAATTCTCCAAAGCTAAAATGTGAAATAAAGTGTGTTCTTTAAAAGACAATGCATGGTCAAGTTAAAGACTTTTTAAACTGTGTTCTCAGTGTAGTTAATTMTTGCACCTGTTTTACATTACCTTGTGTGAACATGCAGATAATTAAGAAAGCCTTCAGCATAAGGTTCTGTATTTCAAAACTGCAAAGTAAGGCCGAGAATTGCCGACAGAGATGAGATACAATCTGAAACATTTTAAGGTCATTTATGCAAGACCTCTGATTGATTTTAAGACAAATCTGTTAGTTTTAAATTGTGTGATGATACTACTTTTCTTTTGTCCATAGCTGTATGTGGAACATTTTTGTTCAGAGAGAACAACCCCAACTACAGGCCATATCTCGGCTCTGCTTCTCAATATCTCACTTGAGTATCTGTCAGAAGCTCAGTGAGCTTCACTGGTGTCTTCCCCACRTGTAGGATCTCCTCACTAACCATCTTCTGCGCTGTCAGCATCAGTAGACTAGACAACTTCTGCCAAATTGAGCAAGTTAAGCAGAGCCTTGTCCCACAAGAAGCGCTAACAGAAAGAGAGAGAAAACTGAGACAAGAATGGAAGGAAGGAATTTTCTTCTTGACAGGAATAAGCTGCAGAAAATCCGCAGAGCTACTACAGCSTACACAGAGCAACAGGTGCCATTGCGCCTTTTTCATATGGGGACTTCGGAGGCCAGGTCTCACCTGGTCTCATTCTTAGCTTTTCCGCTCTCCTCCTTGAATCCTTGCAAAATGGTTGATGCACAGCCTGATTTTAGGGGGAGCAGAATGGCAGGCTAGTGTCTTGAGCTATTTCATGAGAATACAGACATTTTGCTCTTCCTCTGATTTTTTTATACTCTTCTGGGAAGATGGTTTTGATGTCTGAGCACATAATCCTGCAATTTGCTCTATGTGAAACCCCTACTGAAGTCAGTGGGAGCTTGGAGATCACTTTGCAGCACCTGAAGAATCAGTCAAGTTACTTATATGCAACAGACTCATTTGTAATACTATCCTCTCTTTATTAAATGATTTCTGTGTTTTTCAGTGTGTTAGTGTGTTCAGCATTTTTGAACCTGTTCAATTGGAGTTTCAGGGAAAGCATTAGATTTTCAGCATCCATATTTTCAAAATATAAACATTTAAAGTATGTGCATTGTTATTGGTACCTCTTATGAATTTTTTCTATGAGTAAGAAAATTATATATAAAACCAAAATACTGCATTATTTGYACAAAAATTGAGCTATGCACAAGTAAGGTAAGCATCTAAAATTGTTTAATGTGTGTAGTCTAATGTCTACACTCTTAGTTTAGATAGTATCTAATTTTTATGTGGTGAAAATAATTTATTTTTAAAACCAAACTAAAAGCATTCCTTAAATAGTAATGTTTTACAGTTGCAAAGTGCTGGACTATATTACTTGTATGGGGAAATTACAAAGTGGGAGTTATACAGTATTAGGATGGAAATACTAACTCCTCCAGTACAAGGATGTTAAAGTATTTCATTTTAACTTCTCTTGCTAGACATACTTAACACCACCAAGGATAAAATTACTTTTTAATTTACAACTTATCTCTCTTCACTATTTGTGGTGGTCTGAGTTCCCTATTATAATACTTCCCTTAGGCTATGTCTTAAAGTTTCACTTCAGCTGCCGTTTTAAATTAACTTTTAAGAGTGTGCCGAAAGGAAAGCCTCACTATTCCTCAGTGACATTCAGAAAACACAGGTTCCAGCAGGCTTATGCATTAGAGGGAACCTTGAACTGTTTTTCTTAAGGCCCTGGTGTTCACTCAGTCAGTGTGCTGTTCAACTCTGTTTATATTTTGTTCACAGTCATTAAAATCCCAGACATGCTCGTGTGTTTCCATGCATGGGAGTTTGTCGASATGCAAAGAAAAGGAGAGTGAGGAAGAAAGGCAAATTATGAATTGCTACTTAATGTCAGTATATGCAAACTGTTTCTCACCTGGCATCCGTGGCCATCATTTCTAGTTGACTCATCAAGTTTTGCTGTCATAGAGTAATGTATCAAAAGGAAAACAAAATGAGGCTTTGGAGCACATAAAGCAAGTATCTTAACTGCTATTACTCTTACTGGTGCCAAAATGTGCTTGCTTGAATATTAGCTTTCTAGTCCAGTGATTGTGTTTCAGTGTCTGCATTCAATACTTAATTGCTATGTTTAACCCACAGTGAGGAAAGCTACAGTGCAGGTGAAAACTAAGCCTTGTTGTAGAAAGTGAAAAGACAGGAATGCCAGGGTGGAAATACAGGCAGGACACAGAAGGAGCAAAGCTTTGAGAAATGCAATGTGATGTACAAGTTGGTAAGATCTTTAATAACTAATAACATTAATTCCACTTACATAAAATTTATATTCCTTTAATCAAATCTTTGCCGCCTTCTGCCGTCATTACAGCATTTTCAGTGTTCGTTCAAGGGGTTGCTTCTCTACAAATTTGCATAAACATTAGCATGGCCCGTAGGATTCTGCTAGTGTTCTTTGTTTCGATTCTGCGAACTGCTATGGACACACAGCTAGAAGGCCTTTTATGGTCTGTCTCCCTATTTTGTTTCTATCTATGCACTTTATATTCATATTAAGAACTTAAAGCAAAGAGGTAGTGAAAAGAGTAGATTTTTTTTTTCCTCTTTCTCCATTAAGTGTCTGGAACCTGTGAAGCAGACACCTTTTTTTCTCTCATCCTATTGATCTTTGTGTGAGAATTCCTGTTCTTTAAAACATTTGCTGTTTTTTTTTTTTCTTTTTGTTTGTGTTTCTTACTGTTCAAGTCTGTTGGTTTTGTTTTGGTTTGGGGTTTGGGGCTCTCCAGAAGCAGCAACATTATTGCCTTCTCACACCTGGAGAGTAATCCTCTTATCCCAGGAGGATCAGTAGGCTGGAATAAACTGCACATGAGTTAATGCTGTCCTAGTTGGCATCAACTTGGAATTTTCCTGTAAGATTTTCTTTGCAGCTGTTTTTTCTCTGTCTAGCCATGACTCCTTTGTGTTTGTATGGGCCCGTCTCCTATGATAGTGATTTGTTGTTTGCTTTGGTGATCTCACCAGAAAGAGAGAATGCTTCAAAGATTGATCTTTCAATCTTTTTCAGCGCTTAGGAGCAGAAATTCCTCTTTCTGTGAGTATCAGGCATGTAATGACAGTGCGTCTGATGAGGTCTGTAGATACTACAGTCTACTAATTATTGTTTTGTTCCTTACTGTAGCCCCAACTATATACAAGATGAAAACTGCCATTTGGCCTTTTTTTCAGACAGCAACTACTTCATTTAGTTTTATTAGCTGTCAGATAGGTTTTTTTTCTTCTTAAACTCTGGTGAACCAAACTGGAAAACTAGTAAGTTAATTGCAAGAGTATTTCTGCTGGCTATTTTCTCATTCACTTCAATCTTTATTTAATCTCCAAACAAAATTCACATAAATTGCTTCTGTCAATGAGTAGCTGAACAAGGATAAAACAGAAAAGCAATTGGAAAGCAAAAGAGAATATAGCTGTTCTTTGTTTTATTYTTCATTTCAACAAACCTTGCAGTCACCTGGTGTTCCTGGTGAATTTTCCTTTCCGCGGTAAGCAGTGTARTCAGACATGAGGCCTGCTTCCCGTTCATCAGATATCATACTAACGATGGTCGAGATAATTTTGTATTGAATTGCTCCCTAATGTGTTTTTTCGCCCTGGCAGGCAGTGTCTGATGTAGCAGGTCAGGACTTGTTTTCAGTGGTGAATCTGTGATTTACCAAACATGCAGTGATTCTCCACCCCAGCAAGCACTGAGGAAGAGTTCCCACCGATGTCACCTGAGAAGAGCTGGGTGCTTGCTTGAATGAAGCAATAGTATAAAGCTTGCACTCTAAAGAAAGCAACTTCTTTATTAAACATTATCTGACAAAACTTTCTACTTTGTAATTACATGCTTATCATAAATTCTCAACTACTTGGTGAATATGGAAGTTGGGAGACAGTAGAAACCAGTACAACACTCATGAAACTAAGATGGGATCTAGCTCAGAAAGTAATTAGGTATGGAGGAGAGGCTTTCCCTTGCAGGAGGCTATTGCCCCTGCTATGGGCTTCTTTATGTGACTGTATAGAAGATGAATCTCTAATTCTCACAGATATTGTTTAAAATAGAACTTTGGAAAGACTGCACAAAGGTTGGGGCTCAGGGTCTGATCAGCAGAAACAGCAGAAGAGATCCTTACACTGAGACAGGAGGAGTTGTGACGAGGACAGGGGAGGCCAAGAGGAGGAACAGAAATGTTAATTTTGGCAGCTAAGCTGACAAGAATAAATTTGTCTGCAAGCCCAGTGGTTGTAAAAGTAGGCCAGAGGGGTCTCCTGAGTAAACAAAGGGAAGTTTATTAGTTTCTTTAAAAAAATGATACTTTCTGTGTGCACTTTCTGGGCACAACAGAAGACAGAAAAGAAACTTTTTTAGTTACAGAAGAGAACTGTATATGGTTCTGGTGCCACTATCGACATTTTGTAGCTTTCAGGAATAGCAGCTCTGTTCTTCAGAAGCACAGAGGACTTGCCCAGAGCTATGAGTATTATGCAGAAAAAATGTCTCGTGTCTCTGTTGTATTTCTTACTCTACCATAAACACAAGTTTTCAAGGTTCTGCAATCTGATATTGTCAGGAAAAAAAAAAAGTTCTGTAACCTTCTTCTATCTGCTAATTGTATGTTCTTGGTTTCAAAGAAAGGCGGGAGCAGTAGAACACAGCGGCTGTGGAGAGCACCCRTGCTGGTGGCTGTTGGGTGCTCCAGGGCACCCTGTGCAGCACCTTGCTCTGTTGTTGGAAGCGGAYGGGTCTGTAACCTCCGTGCTTGTTTTCTTCTCGAGATTGGAAGAAGAGCAAAACAGCTGGAACAGCAAAATTTCTCTGAGAAGCATGTACAGACTAAATAATAATAAGTAATATCCTCAGATATTTTGGTGTTTTTAAGTCCTTAAAGATTTTAAGTCCGTAAAAATATTTTTAGTGCATTGTAGTTTGAGATAAAGTCTCAATTATACTATTTATTTTATAAAATTCCTTACATTAGGGAACTAAAAACTGCATGCAAGTATAGATGAAAGCGCATTTCCAAAGCTTGCTGTTGGATATTAAGCATTTTGTCTTTACACTCATTACAGAAAGGTTCAAATTTTATGGTGCTGGTAGAGTAGATTTGGAAGGAAAGGAGGGCAGAAAGAGAGCTGAGGTCAGTGAAAGAGCCCAGCCAAGGGTCATGGCGAGAGCAATGGCAAGGGAGAATAGTAGAGGCCAGAGAGAGTTGAGTCAGTTGGAATGGGAATAGCAAGCTGGAAAAGATCCAGCACAATTGGTTTTCAGGAGAGAGTGGAAGTTTGAGGGTAGAAGGAAGGTACTTCCCTGTTTTCCTTTTGTGGCTCACAGAGCCACCAGGCTCACAGAATTGCAGAGTGGCTGAAGGGAAAAAGTAAAATAAAGTAAAATAAAATCCTACTGACAATACTTTCTGGGCTGTGTGAAATAAGGAAAAATCACAATATAGCTTACAGGAGTAGGACAGGCTGATAAGAGACAAATAGAAAAGAAGTGGAAAATGGTACTTCAAAAATCATTCTGAGAGTCTATGAACACCTGGATGAAGGAAGCAGCAGGTTAAATAGACATGAGTTTGTAGATAAAGCAAGTGAGTAGATAAACATGTCAAAAGCATTAATTGCACCAGGAAGGATAGGGAATTTAAAATTGATTTAAAATTAATTTAAAATTAATTTAAAAATAATTTAAATATCAGTATATACTATTTACTTAATATTCAGAAAGAAATTCTTGCTACCTTTTTAATAAAGTTTATTCAAGCAAATTGTTTCTTTGCAAATTCTGTAACGCACATAAAAGCACTCTGTACTGATTCAGTAACAATTTAGATTTTTGCAGCAAAATGTAATGTCTTCAGTGTGATGGACCTGAATCAACCCATTATGTTTTTACTTTGTATGTGTCTCTCTCTTTAAATGTGTGTGGGCTACAGATGGTTCTGTGAAGGAAAAGAACTGCAGAATTCCCCTGACATTCAGATCCATTCTGGAAGTGGAGGACTTCATTCACTAATTATAGCAGAAGCCTTTGAAGACGATACTGGGCGCTATACTTGTCTGGCTTCAAATTCCATCGGTTCAGACAGTACCTCTGCTGAAATATTCATTGAAGGTAGGTAAAAAAGGTGCTATGGTCACCTAGTGGCTGTAATCGAAGAGCTGACTGGTTGTGCCAGTAACAATTTTCAMTATAGTAGTATAGCTAGTCCCATTAGGACAATAGGAATAAATACTTTTTTTCCCTTTAAGTGAGTTCAGAATATTTCCAAAACACRTTATATCAAAACTTCCACTGCTAGGAAACCCCACTGTATAAATGTTATGTATAATWCAATATAATTAGTCTAAGCTGTGAAGATAGTGGGTAATGAGCTTAGTCTGCAGATGGTTTGTTATACTTAGTTGCTCTTAACTAAGGATGAAGTTATCTGTGAATATGCCCTGTGTCTGCTTAGCTGAAAGGAGGGTAAAGTTATTTGTCTTTTTGTGCAGGTTTATGATAATGTTATTTATTATTTCACCATGCTCTTTAAAAAGAAAAAAAAAAAAATCGGTTTTAAAATCACGCTGACCCAGCAGTGCTTTAGGCATTTCATTTACATCCAAGCACATACAGGGCCACTGTGTAAGATAAAAMCAGTGCTTAAGTTAATACCACCATCTGATAGGTCAGAAAACAAGATATATGGTATAGCATAAATGCTTAATGATTCCCACTTCAAACAGCTTCTGGCAAAATTCTCTTATGCATCTTAGCACTCACTATTTTTTAAAATTTTTCTGTTATGCTATGAATTACCTTCAATTAGTTCTTGAACCTCCCCTATACTAAAATTGATTTTTTTAAACCTTTAACATTTATGTCAAAAAATTACAGATTTTGCAGTACAGTGGTAGTAGTATTTCCTTCAGTATGCCTGAAGGCAGCTAAGAACCTAGGGACAACAGTTTGTGATTAAATCAGCATGGCTACGGTGTCTGTAATGGTCTAAAAAAAAGAGTTTCATCGGGGAAGAAAAGCTGCGGTAATTTATTACAGAGAACTCTCAGCTCTGTGTTATTGTTCTTTTATTAATGGTGCCTCATGCAAGTCAGCTCAAGTGAAAAGCGAAAGCAGCAAAGCTTTTATTTGTCTTTTAAATTTAAACATAGAAGAAATCAGTAAAAGCACAGGAGTGCTGAACAGACTTTCTTTTGCAGGTGCCAGTTCCACAGACTCAGAGAGTGAGAGTTTAATTTTCAAATCAAAATCTGGAGCTATGCCACAGTAAGTGTGCCGAGTACAACCAGTACTATATACATGTGCTATGCAAATGTTCTTAATAAGAGACCCCAGAAAATCTTTGGTAATTTTAGATCTGAATAAGCATCTGGACAAAATATGTATGTGTGTGTCTTGTCCTTGGCTTTTCCGCTTCACTAATGTGATACAAATGTGTTGTATTATGACTGTGAATTTTATTAACATGCTTATCCTGTTTAGGAAGTCTGGCCCTATTCTGACAACATTTTTGTTGATACAGACTTCTCATGTTTAGGAATTAATTTTATTTATTTAATCTAGTCCTCGTTTTTAACGACCCAGACGTATTTCTTAAAGACAGGCGCCTACAGTTAAAGAAACAAAATACATTTCGGTTTGTGTCTTAAAGCAGTACTTTTTATTATGGTATTAAAACGTAAATTATCCAAAGAACACTCTTTTTTCAAGCTTCCTACAATACTGATATTTTCATCTGGTAATATTTGCCTTATATTCAAAATAAAAGTCTAAGATAGTCAAGCAAGCATGAGATCATGATCACCACCAGTTTAAATAAGTTATTGAAAAGTCAGTGGATTCAAGCCAGTGCATAATTGGTTACAAACTAACACATCTCATTTCAGGTATTAAGAAGTATTTTTGTTGTTTTTTCTAGGGCCCAAAAGAAAACCACTTCTGTTTCCTTAACAATAGGATCTTCAACACCCAAGTCAGGAGTCACTACTGCTGTTATTCAGCCTATCTCTGTGCCTAATCAGCAGGTATCCAGRCACCGTTTTTTATAATTAGTTGGAGTATTCAAAATTTTATTTCAAAATTAAAGGTTTTCTTTTAAGCCTCTTATTTTGTGGAAGTGTGGCACTGAACTTATTTATTGTCTTACAGAGTTACAGTAAAAAATAAATGAATGGAGTATTAATGTAAATATATGTAAGGATTTAACATAGTATCTATCACTGCATCATGTGAGCAACTGACACTGCTGTTGGTACTGAGAATAGCATAGGATATAACTTGATAATGACTCATTACAGTTCCAAAAGAATATAATAAAGACTTTACATTTTCAAATTTACAGCATTGCATAGATACATGCAGATCATTTTATTAACCCAATAAAGTGGTTGCAGTTTATTTTCATAGAACTGTTGCATTGCTTTCCAGGTCCAAAGCCCTACTTCACATCTCCACCGTCTAGATGGATGCAAGCCTATCTATTCTGCACCTATTTTTACTAAGGTCTGTTTCAACCATGATTTTTATGTCAAACTTTTGCAGTCCTAAAGGAAATATCAAAATGATATATTCTAATGCAGGATTTTTTGATCATATTAAACATTTTACAGTTTGAATATGAGGGTTCTTTTCAGTCTGAGCACAACTGGTTTACTAAGAAAATGGTTTGCATTGCAGCAGTAAAATCACTCATACCTTCTACCCTCTCCAAATAATTGAAAAACTTGCATGAATATTTTGCACGTGTTGTTTCCATTACTGCCATCCATTGAGAAAACTTGGCAAAATAAAACAAGGTAGGCACCAGTCAAGCATCATTRTCATGATCAAGTATTTCATTCTACAAATTAATCTCCTAAAATAACAAATAATGGATATGGGATTTTTTACTTGATTTTAGAACAAATCCATCCAGGTGTGTTAAAAATGCAATTCAGATATTTCTTATTGGGATATCTTTTAAAATGTAAGGTATAGAATTGCTGGAAAGGAAATTTTTATTCCATATTTTTTAACTAATTAAAGTTAATATTTATCTGCATATACACCCCAAACTAACCTTAACGTTTGGAAATTAGGCAAACCAAAGTAAGAGCAAAAAAGCCTATCTCCCTGTTGTCTAAGATACAGCTTTCAGCAAAATTCTGATTTGCCTTGTGCACATGAAGATTTTTATAGCAGAGTCTGTTACTTAATCATTATTTATTGAACACGGAAGAAGAAAATAAAGCATTTCAGGTTATTATTTCATAATAGCAATTTGACTAAAAGCTGATGTGGAGCAACAAACGTTTTTATCTAAACAAGATAGTAAGAAAAGTAAGCTCTGTTCTTCAGAGCTTTGCAGCTTGACTCCAGTGCATCCCTTTCTCATGGAAGGTGAGATCTGATTCYGTGCCTTCAATCCTGTCCTCCTGCAATGGCAGCGAAGACATCAGAGCAGTGTGAATAGCAGAGGTGCAGGGCGTTAGGGAGAGGGGTTGCTGCAAGATAGGGAGGCCAACAACTTTTTAATAAGAGGGGGGAAATAAGAGGAATCCAGCCCTTGTTGAAAAACTTGTTGAAAAAGCATTCAGACCTCCACTCTTGCCTCCCAATCCTCATATCCTTTCTGTCTGAAATCTAATCTTAACTGAAATAAGCCAGTTGGAATCTTGCAAATCAAAACAGCTTTAATTATAGAAGAAATGAACAACAAAGTAACCAGCTTCTTCAGATTTTCTTCTATACAGACTTCAGGAAGGAGCTGAAAGATTGCGAGGTTTCCATATTAATAATAATAATAATAATAAAGTATATATTTGATTAAATAYAGGTCTGTGAATTTTAAGTAGGGATAACCCTGATCTTTAGATCTAACTTTAAGTGCTTTGCTGGATCAAGGCCTAAACTCTCAGTAATAAACTGGACAGGCATTGAGACAGCTAGTACAGTATAAAAGCTTCCTGCTTTGTAGTCTTCAGATGGATAACAAAAACAAAAATAGTATGTCTCTTATCTACTCTATTAATTAAGTATTCTGCTTCCCCCTCTATCATTGTGGTTCTTCATCCAAGATACATGTTTTCCTTCAGATATACGTAAGAATCTATTACAGCTATAATTCTGTCTCAGAAGGTATTAATGCATGAGCTAGTATATCCTAATTGTGTTTCCGTGCTATAATTTTGCCTCAATAGTTTCTAATGAGGAAGGCAACTCTGCATTCTAGAGGATGACATGAACGCAACAAGGCCACTCTCTCAAAAGTGACTCAATCAAAACAGTCAGCTGTATACTCTGCATTTTAATTTCATCTTAGTGAAGATGAATGAAGGCTCAAAGATCAAATCATAACTATCCACTTGTCCTCAATGAGGAATTGAGTGCTTTTACAGTTTTTCAATCTGTAGTCATACTAAAATGTATTTGAAAATAGTACCTTTATTCGGTCTTAGTCATATAGCTGATATGTTTAATGGAATCAAGAGTAAAAATACTGCTTATAGAAAATAACTATTACAAAAATACAAGGACACAATAGAAGAAGGGAAGGAATGAGTATTTTAATGAGTATCAGGTGCTTCTGGTTCATTTTAATTATGATGGTTATGGTGTGTTTCAGGAGCTACAAAACTGTACAGCATCTGAGGGACAAGTCGTGGTGTTGGAATGCAGGGTCAGAGGAACCCCTCCAATTCATGTCAAGTGGTTTCGCCAGGGTACACAAATCCAAGATTCTCCAGACTTCCGAGTTCTCCAGAAAAGTAAGACAGTAATCCAAAGCAGCTACTTTTGATTCGGGATGATGTGCAGGAAAGTCATAAAGTTAGTCTGTCAGGATTGAGTTTTGGCTGACTCCTCTCTTCCTCACATTTCAGTGGTTATAATGGTTAAGAATAATGATAGAACTACTGCTACCAAGGCACAATTTCAGTCATCCTTATTTTTTTTTAATGTGTCTGCAGATTCTGTACTTGTCTACAGTACTTCATGTTCACCTAACATGCAGTTGCTTACTAATGCAACCTCTAACACCTTCTTTTCTTTTTTCTTTTTTGTTTTTTTTTCTCCTTCTCATGATGTGATATGCAGAGCCACGATCCGCAACTGAACCTGGTAAGAATCATATGAAAAAATAATCTTTTGATTCACTAGCTCTTTGTGTTTGCATTGAAGCCATAAATAGAACAATGTTTCTGCTGAGCATTGGTAATATGAAACTCCCTTGAAGACAATGTTTCTTTATCACAGTCTCCATACTTTTACACTGTGCTTTACATCAATTCCTTTATTAGTTAAACAGTAAATTCCATTCAGACCAGCAAAGAGAGCCCTGCAGCCTAAGCTTTGAAGCAGAGTTAATTCGCAGAATATGAGCATTTTGCAAGCTAATGAGAAAAAAAATCCCACAAAATTCCATCACCCAAATAGTACTCGTAATAGTTTTGTAACACCCAACCACTAAATGCCTTTCTTCCCAGTTTAGTTTGACAGATGTGTGCAAGAGCTGATCCCAAGAAAAATGGGTGCTCTGGGTTTTTATAGTCTATTCACAAGGTAGAATTCCTAGATTTCAGCAAGTAAAAAAAATGTTCTTTATCCAGCTACAATTAGGGTTTTTTTCCTGCTTTTTTTCTTCGCTGTTTTTCTTCACTGTATCACTGTTAAACCTTTTTTTTTCTGTTATGATAGTTTGTTCAATAATGTACAATGCGCCTTACTCATCACTAAAATCAATAACATGTATACAAAGCATATATAAATTAGTAAAGTGTGGGCAAATCRTACATACTTCCTTTTGACATAAATCACAAGCTGTGTTTTGTTTATTGGTAGTAATACCGGAAATAACATAAATAAGTAGCCCTGTTGCTTAGGATGTCATTAAGGATTGTAGAGTTTTTTACAGTAAGAATATGGGTGGGTTACAGAAAGGCGGTAGGTACAGCACTGGTTTATGAGGCAACGCAGACTCTTAAGAAGCCAGACAAAACAAAACCTGCAGAGGAAATTGCTCATCAGCAAACAAGCAACTGCTACTCAGTGCAGATGATGAGAATGTGCAGAGATCCAGGAAGGAAACCAACCTTCCTGCGCTACAGAAGTATTCAGAATTTTGAGATGGATGTAATTTCTAAAGTTTTTCCCAAGTGTACATCTCTCATGGAATTTTGCATAAGTTTTAACAAGTGTAATAGACAAGTTTTAACAGTTAATTGCTCTTTCTCAACTGAAGGTTCCACTGCCAGTAAATGCTTTACAGTGTTCAGGAATACTGATTTTCTTTTGTAAAGGCAGTGATTTAAAAAAAAAAAAAAA